GTTTATGGTGAGAGTGGAACGGCTGACTCGACAAATGTGTGTTCCATAAATCAATGGCAACTCAAATTAAAGCTCATTTTTTGTTTGTGATTTAATTTGATTCAATTGCAGTCGATGAAGTTTAATGAATTTGCTTTCAATCCTTTTTCATTTCAACTTTGCTAAAGATTGTTTACTGTACAATTATAACCTCTGGTTTATTTGGAAAGGTAAAGGTCAGTCTTTAATTGTACCTCTGAGTATCTTTATTTATTTTGCGTCTTCTTGTTAACATTGTTTCAATTGAAGTTTGTTTTCGTTGCTTTTACAAGTTATTAGTTTTGCTGAAATGGTTTATGCTTTTATGCTTCTTACATCTTTTTATCTAATTTTAACAAATTCTCATCACTCTACCTTTATAATAGTTACCTTAGAGATACATGTACCTTTTACATCTCTTTGACTTGTACAGAAATGTTGAGCTCGAAATTCAATTTTATCTTTTCAGAGTAAATGGTTTCAAATTTTGTATAAATTTAGAATGAAATGAAATGAAAATATCTTCTTCAAGTTTTACGATAAAGGCATAGAGTTCGAGTAGGTAAAAGTCGTTTATATTTCATTTGGAAAAATAAAATTTCATTATTGAAAATCATTTCCATCGACAGGGAACATCAAACTGTTTCTCTTCAGTTTAATTTCAAGTAACTAGCAAGATTTATTGATATTTTTGCATCAACCAGTAACACCATCATGTGGAGTGAAAAGAAAATATTTATGAGTCTTGAATTTAATGATGAATATTATGAATATAAGATGGAAGTTTTGGTAATCTATTTTCGAGTGTAACTAGCAATTCAAATGGTGTTTTAGACGCAATTGAAGTAAACAGGTATCAACCGAAACTATTACACAGTAAGCAAGAAACGTCTATTGTTTCGTTATTATGGCCAAACGCTTCAACGATTGTAATGTAATTGATTTGCCTAATATGGTTTGTAAGATATTTTCCCATCGATTGATGATGTTGATTGAGCTTTAATTGTTGACTATATTTGTAACATGGTGTATTAATGAAAACCCCTTTTCTGGTATATAAGCATATGAAAATGATTGAAAACTCTTAAAGTGAACTGTATTGTACTCGTCATTAATTGTTATCTCTAAACGTTAGTTAATCGTGCCTTGGGTAGTTGTCTTTCTAAGTATATTCCTATCGTTGATTACGGTAACCTTACTTTCGTTGAACTTGCTGGTAGCGGTGGGATAGCGGTCAACTACAATGAGTGTAAAACTGGAAAATGGGATGATCACCATTGGAATAGACGATTTTAAAACTGTTTTAGAGTCTGTCATAGCTGGATCTCGGGTGATACCAGTGCCAACTTTCGTTTGTTCGAAATTTAATGTAAGTGATTGGATCAATGATTTCGAAGCAAAAACGGAACAATCATATTGGGATGATAATCGACGTCTACAAAAAGTAAGATGTTACCTTCACGCCCATGTTGCATCGTGGTATGATTCAATTTTTGAAAACCCCGAGACTCGACCTAAAGATTGGAAGGAATTCAAAGAACTTATGGTACGTTGCTATTCCCCCGTAGGACATGTGAACTACTTTGAACGGTTCTATACCACTAGACAAGAAGAAAACGAATTTGTGATAGATTTTTGTAGTAAAATGTTTTATTATGCCAAGAAAGCGAATATAGACTTCCAAACTTTTGTAACAACTTGTATTGAGAGATTCAGAAGAGAAATATATATAGAATTTCTAAGATTCCGACTCGATGACATACAAACTTTTGACAAACTTATTGAAAGAGCTCGAATTGCAGAAGAAAACTCTCGGATGAACAATGGTAATTTACCGATTTGCTACGGAGATGTGGATCGCCATGATCTGCCTTACAGGTATGTGACTGTAGCTAATGCAAATTTGTCTCTCAAACCTTGTGATCATTCAAAGACTGATCCTGCTGCCGATCAACACAGGTATAATGGTGCGCCTGATAATAACAACATATTCGCTTCATCTTCATACTGTTATAATGTCGCTAAATATACGCCTGCCGCTGTGGTGAATGCTAATGCCTCAACTAACATCATATCAGCTTCGTCCCCATCAACGGTCAAATCGCAGATAGCTGAAATGGTAGATATGCTGAAAGAGTTTATACAGAATTCAGTAAATTACAATCAGCGTGCCCGCACCAATGTTACTTGCTATTACTGCCAAAAGGTTGGACATATTGCAAATCAGTGTTATAAGAAACAACGAGATCAACAAAAACGTCAAGGAAACATGTTCTGATTTCAGAAAAAACGTTAGAAAATCAATAATGAACATAACTTGGCTCTTAAATCAATCTTCATGAAAACGAGCAACATTCTCTATCGAATCTTATATATGCTATCCTAATCTTGAATATCGAATAAATCATCGTGTAAATTAAGAAAAATATTAATGAATAAAAAGAACTTTTATTAATAGTTGATTCAAAAGCAAAAATTCCCAAAGTAGTGATATTAATTATTGATCAATAAAGAACTAATTTGTTTCTTAAACATTTAAAAGGTGAATACTTTACATAAGCACTTGCACTAAATTATAAATGAAACGCGCTTCCGGTTTTTCTTGCATTTCTTGAATGGAATTGTTTATAATTAATATCAGGAAAAGTCAACATCATTTTTTCACCACTCATTTCTTTATTATATTATAATATTTCCATCAACAAAAATTGGTTCTGATAATAAAAATTAGCTTGTATGGTAAAGTAAATCCATATTGTAATCATGGATGGTTCAAAAGAGGTTCAAGATTGTCACCAAATTAATTATCAATGGAATGAAAAGATATTCATCAATTATTTGTTACAAGATCATAAGATTACTTTATATACTAATCATTAGTTTCTCAATCAATATTTCGTGTATATCATGGAAACTAATGATTGCCGAATCAAATAAAGGTTGATTGAATATTGATATTTTCATGACACAACTTTCATGTAATTAACCAGAGCAAGTTCAGATATTTCAATGGTTAATAAACATAACAATGGCTCATTTCTTATTGATTAATTGAATAAAATATTATTATTAAATTATTATTTGTGCTTCTGAGTTTATTTTAAATAATAAAGAATCATTGTAATTGAACAAAATTTCTAGTTGATTTGCTCAACAAGTTTGTAATAACAAAAAAGGCTTCAATGTTATTCAACGCTTTTGCCTAATGCTTATGTTGATCGGTTATCAGGCAAGACCCAGCAATCAGGAATCGTAACCAAGTAATAACGATGTTTTCAATGTTATAAACCTTTAGTTAATCACTGAATAAACAAATGTTAGTGGCCGAGGTCAATCAGAATTACGTTAATCACACTTGCAATTTGCAATAGTAAACTTTAATCGTTGAGACAAATCTACAGATCAGTTAAAATAAAAGCCTCAAACCAATTTGGTTTCAGTATTAGTTTTCAACTTTCCCCAGTAATTTAACTTTCTTTTTCACTTTGTTAATTTAATAATAAACCATTCTCATCTCAATTGTAAACATGAAAGTTTCAAGTTTATCAATCACTTTACTCAGTGTTTTCAGTGTCGTTACCACTTCAACCGATGGTAAGGCATCAATATTGGCTTGTAAAGTTTTGTTTGTAATCATTTTATTTTCACTTTATATTCAGTAAAAGAACCAAATAGATATTTAAATGAGTTTGTTCAATTGGTTGGTGATCATGTGGAACAGTTAGAAAGAAATATTCCAGGTGAGAGGAAAATAAGTGCTTTGTGTCCATAAATAAATCAACATTTATTTTCCAGGTTGGAGTGTTAATGGTACAATTGAACAAAATGTTGTCCAGTTTGTTGAAAAAGCTTTCACTTTCGGACCTTTTTCAGGTAAGAAATGGCAATCAAATTATTTTCTTTGACGATTTAATTTGTATAAATTCAGGGCTGGATCCATATGAAAATTTAAGGACAAGTATTGTAAACAATGTTGTTAGTTTGTTGAAATCAGAGCTTCCAGGTAAATTGTTTTATTGGTTCAATTTAACTTTATATTTACATTACAATGTTTTCAATGTTTTCATTTACCTCTTTTCTTGCAGGTTTTGATGAAACAAAGTCAGTTGGTCAAAATGTTGCCAATTTGACCAATGATTTATTTGCTAAATTGCCGTTTCCATGTAAGTATAAATGCTTAATCATCTTTTAATTAAATTTTACTTGATTGTTTTCTGTTTCATGCTTTAATTACTTTGTTAGATTTCCTCAAAAACAGAGTGAAAGAAATGTTGATTGAATCGGTTAACAATGGTCTTTCGGATATCAAAGATTCAGGTTTGTATCACTTCTGCTTTGAACTTGTTTATACCTTGAATTATTCTTGTTATTCAATATTTATAAGATTTGATTTCATCTTTCATTATCTAGGGCTTGGTGCTTCAAAGAGGGTTGATTCAGATCTACAAAACATTGTTAATAATTATCTGGACAGACTTGGAGGTGAGCATTCATAGTCGCACAATTTTACTTTTCATTGAAATGGTTTAA